TTTTTTTGTTTTTTTGGTGAAAAGTGTGTATGGTTCTGCACAACTGTTTTTTCGCAGTGACTTTGTAAGGCAAGTGTTGGCAAATGAGCTCTCAGAAGTTTCACTTCCTTGGGAACATGGCAGCAAGTTAATAATACAGCATTTTTTCGTGCAAAACCTATCTAACTAAGTAGATTTAAGTTGGTTGTTTCTTGAGAGGATTGTGCCGGGGAGATGGATGAAGCTGTAGATGAGCTTCATTGCTTAATGGAATGGCTCTTAATTACTTTCCTTTTTCCAAAAAGAAATATTCCTAAAAAGGTATTATGAGAACATTGTAATTGAAATTGCCAACTAAATAATATACGTAAATTTATTTTCTATATATATTTTTACTAATCTTTGATATCTAAAAATTATATTGAATACTGATTAATTTAGAGTCAAGTCAAATCAAATCCAACAAAAAGAAAAATTTCTCCAATACCTGTTTTTCTATTTACAAAACCTTACTTAAATAAAACTAATTTTCTTTCACTTGAACTAATAAGTCATTTGTTGGGGTGTGCTGGTGATATAAGTTGATGAGTCAACAGTTGTAATGATATGGAGGCTGATTAGGATGCTACCTGTGAATGATGATAAGGGCCCTTTTGGTAGTACTCGTGTCATGTGCAAGACACTATGTGTCATAGGTCATCTTGTTTTGTCCAACGATGTTAGTCAACAACAAATTCCTCAACAAAGCTTGAAAGTGTAAATTTTCCAACCATGCCAAGAGAGCTGAGCAACGATGACAAAGCTTCAAGAACCGTTTCACTTGCAAGAAGCTATGTGCCATGGGTCGTCTCCCTTTATTAAGCCAAAATGAGTTGCACAAGATTTTTCAACAAAGTCTAATAATACAACTCCCCTAGCTAAGTTAAAAGAGTGCAGCATGATCTCCTCTTCACTTCTTCTCTGGAAAGAATGAACTACAAGCTTTTTCCAACAAAGTCTGGAAACGGAGCTTCCCCAACCAAGCAGAAGAAAAAGTGAGGCAATGATGATGCTCCTTCTCGTAAGGAAGAACTATGAGCTCTCAAACAAAGTCAGGAAGTAGAGTTTCTCCAACGAAGTCTGGGAATAACATTTCTCTAGTGAAGTCTAGAAATGAAGCTTCTCTAGTGTTCAAGAATAGCACTTCTCCAGCAAAGTTTGGAAATAGAGCTTCTTTGGCGAAATTCAAGAATAGAGCATCCCTAGCCAAGCTAGAAAGAGTGCGGTGGCAACGATGCTCCCAAGATAATGATTACAGAACCACCAAAATGAATGAATGGGCGTTGAGCAACTCGATGTCTCCAGCAGAGTCTGAGAGTGAACCTTCTTCAGCAAAGCCAAAAGAGCTAGATGGAGATAAGGTCTCCAGACGATGATTTTGCAACCATAAGAAAAGAAACAAATAGGTGAGTGAGATTGTTGCTAAAATAGCTTGGATGGAAAATGTAAATATCAACTTGTACAACAAAATAGACATATCTAAATGCAATATATTGTAGAATAGAAGAAATGAATTGTAGATGTGTCATCTACTATCTTCAATATATATATATATATATTTGTATATATGAAATTCTAAAATAAATAACCTTTAAGTTGGAGTTTGAAGTATAATGATTTCTCTTCAAATTTATACTAACAAAAAGAATAAACTAGAAAGTAGTGATGGGAGAAAGAAGGATGACCGTTGTGGGGGCTTTTGAATAGAGGGCTTGATCCTGTTTTTGATGCTAACTTCTCAACTTGAACCTTTGATGCTCACGAAGATAACCTAGAAAATGAATTTGCAATATGTTGTCTCCCAACCATGATGTTTTGCAAGTCTGGAGATTATTCTGCAGTGTTAGAAGTGTAGAAAATATGAAGAAAATGGTAATTTATGGGTGGTTTCAGTGTGTAGGATGAGAGGTTGAAGATGAAGGATTTTTTAGAGGAAAAATGGAAGTCTAATGCATGAGAAAGAAAGTTTATTTGGGTTAGATTCATAGGTTTATTGATAACCTACATGTAGAAGTAGTAATTAGTTGATGAAGATGATGAAATTTAATAAAGAAATAATAAAGGAATGAGACTTCTTTATGTATGTTTGGTGATACAGCAATGTACTGCAGTAATAGATATTACTAGGCCTAATCATATATTACAGCATTAGATATTGCTGTGCCTTTTAGTAAATGCATGTTGAAGGTGTTAAGGGCACTTAGATTGAGGCGGGTCTTGATGATGTGGAAATTACCCAAGTTCGAGTTTAACCTTTTACGAAAACGTCCATCAACATTGTTAACAAATTTATTCTCTATTATTATAAATAAAGAAGTGCTAGGGACACTTTCTCTAGGACACTTTTTCTAACATTCTTTTTGAAACACTCTTCTTATACTAAAGTGCAATATAAATTTAATGTGATTGGTGATTAATAATTAACATTAAAGTTAATATTTTTAAAATATAAAATTATAATCAATCATATTAAATTTATTATTCATGTATTCTAATCATATGCAATATTCAAAAATAAAGGTTAAAGAGTGTGTCCTTAACATTCTTTTTATAATAATCTAAAAATCAAGGTATTTTTCATCCCCACAAAATTAGATTCTTCACCCAGACATTTCATACTCCCAAATATCTTATTTGGAATTTTTCTCGCTAAAAATGATTCAAGTTTTCTTTCACACAAAGCATATGTTTAAATATCTGACAACATAGACCCTGAATTGACCTCACCTTTCATTGCAAGTGGAAGGAAGGATGATGATCTAGGAACAAGGACGCTTCCAAACCAAGGTTTTTGGGGATTGAGATTTCGACCTAGTTGAATGGACAGAACACTATTTTTTATGTGGTTTTTCGTGGCAAAACCAGTTTCATTATTTCCATATTTTTCGTTGCCGAAAGATACATAAATAAAAAGGTTTCCAACTAATTATCTGTGGAGTATGCTGCCAACTGGCCCCTGCAAATTCAATTTTGATACTAATAAGTATGATATATGTTTTGAATGGAATAAGGATGGTGCAAGGATGCAATGTAAATGTTGAGAATGTTTAGGCATATTTCATTTGCTGTTTTATATGACGATCAAATAACTTTGCACACATGTAATCGAAATAAAATTCAATAAATATTTTAAATTTTTATTTCATTTTGATGCAATACGCCCTTTGCTTTAAATTTTAAATTTCACGTGTTGGATGATGGAAAGTATGAACGCACTAAGAGGGCTATTACCGCTGAAAGAAAGCGACACACTTCATGAGGTTAAAAAGAAAGGCATATTGTGATATATATATATATATATATATATTTTACAAGAGTAATAGTTAAGAAGGTAGTATGAGTTAGTTGTTAACAACTGGTCTTCAGATGGGTGAACATTCTACCCCCTCAAATGAGACGCGCAGCTATTAGGTCGCTTTTTGATAGAGTTCACGACGGTGATGAAGTTCGAACTTCAACCATTTTATCCAAATACTTAAGACTTGAGATCGAACCATTAAACCTAAAATTCGGTTCACATATTATGATAATTTGGTTTGGTGGGGAAACAACAATAACAAGACAGGTAGATTACTAGCCATCAGCCTCCTGCCAAGATGAAAGACTGCATTTTTTTTCTTTTTCGGTACGTGTGAAGGATTTTATATTATAAAGGGTCGAATTATCTTTTTCTTAAATTTTTGGTTGCACATGACAAATATTTTTTTTTTCTATATCTTTACCTATCACATACGTTTGCCTATGAGTTAAATTTATAATTTTTTAGTGTAGTCAAAGGAGAAGGGTGGTTTTATTGTTTGTCATACGAAAGCCTGTAGGATCAAAATCATAAAAAAAAAAAAAAAAAATGAGGGTCCAATAATAAAGAATCTTTTTTTTAATAATTTAAATTTTATAATTTATCAAAAAATAGACTATAAAATAATTTTTTGAAAAAAAAAATATTAATAAATCACTTAATTTTTGGTTGAAGTACGTACCCTTGTTATATGTATCTTGGTAAAGATCCTGTTAAATAGCGAATAATTTTACCAATAGTTCGTTCCAACCTAATGACATTGGATTTTAGGTTAAAACTGTTCATTTTTATAAGTAACGTGTTCGAATCTTATAGAACTTATTTCCTCTCTTCTCGTATATATTTGTAAATAATGTCAAAATTATTCAAAAAAAAATAACGAATAGCCCTGCTGATTTAAAAAAAAAAAAAAGAAAAGAAAGGAAAAAAAGAAGAAGAAAGAAATCGCCCTCTCATTCCTTAATCATCAATCTTTTTTATTTGAAAATAAAACTTTTTTATAGAGAGCACGAGAAGCAGAAATTCAATTGGTAAAGTTATTGTTACATTATAAATAATTAATATTATATTATTTTTTATGTTTTTATGTTACATTTTTAAAAAAAATTTATATGTTTTTGTTTCTTTATAAATTTAAAAAATTAATAATCAATTAATTTATAAACATATGATATTAATAATTGAGATCACTATGTCCGCTCCAACCCATTACAAAAAAATTAACTTACAAAGCAAGGATCAGGGAGACTAAACGCACGCAGAAAGTACCAGATCTCAGTCCACATAAGGCCGAACTGCCAAAAAGGGACCCAAGCATGTAACACTACAACAGATTCAAAGTTTTTCAGCTTAAGAGCTTCGACTGGCGATTTATTCCAAAAAATCACCCGACTTAGCCTCAGCCAGCCATTCGCCTAAACCCAAGAGAATGATCTATAATTAAATGTCAATTGATTTCTCCACAACCATAGCAACTGCAAATCAACTAACAGACCATACATCTTTTAAGGTGACATATACTGGAAATCATCCCAATGTGTCGCCTGAGATGCTGCCAACCTTCATTTTGAGTTACCACTCCCAACCCCTACCAATCATACCATTTCAGACTTTGCATGTGAATAAGAGAAGGGCAATTTTCTCAGCCTGCTTTCCACAAAAGGGGCAAGATAAATCATATTCCCACGCTTCTGACTCCTCTTTTTAATAGGTTTTCCTTAACCAGCAATCATATTGTTCGAGTATTCCAAAACAAAATTCACTTGCATAAATAAAATGGAAATACTCCAATGGTCAGGAAACACGTAATTATGATATTCTTTGTTTAGGTTTTGGTACGTATGATGATGTTTGTAGAAAACAAACAACAAACATATACCAAATCAATAGAACCTAGCAATATTAATATACAAAAAGAAATTTTTAATTAGAGACAAATTAAAAGTTCATTAATTATGTTTTTTT